TGAAGCCTCTACCGGCTTCATGCGTGAGCCCAGACTCGAGCCTGAATAAAGACCCTCGTGTGTTTGCATCAGAGCTGGCTCTTTGTGGTCTCTCTCTCTCTCTGATTAGAGTTCTGGGTTTAACACACTGAACGTCGTAAAATTAAAGTTGGAAATCACATTCTGAAGCAGTCTGCCTTTTACATGTAAAAGTTAACAGTTATGATGTTTAAGCTTTTTCTAATGTCACAGCTATACGCTGTAACCACTATGAGCTCTGTGGTCAGCAAATTTAACTTTGGGAGGGTAAATTTTTATTTAATTAACTTTAATGAGTAACTGAGAAACCATTTTCATTTATTATGTGATCCAGGGCAAAGTGGCTCAAGGAGCCTAACCCAGAAGCAGAGGAACTCTTCCGCATGGTAGCTGAAGTATTTATTTACTGGTCAAAATCCCACGTAAGTATGAAAACATTGACAGATAGTACTTAGTGTTTGTTTCATGTTAAGGACTTTTTACATGTTATCTAATTTTCCAATTCCCCTCAGTCACTACCTAGGGTAGTGTTTTCTCAAACCTGTCTATTTGGTTTCATGTAACAATTAAGGAGTGAGAATAGGTCCCCTGGGGAATTTGAGGGACCATAAACCTTCTTTTGTGTTTTATAGTTTATCATTCAAAAAAAATCACAGAATCTTTTAACTGCACTCACTCCACAAACATTTTCTAAGTTTGCCCCTAAACCTTAGAATAATATTGACATTACATAGGGATGTACCTGTTTTTTTTTTTAAAGGTCTTTTAGCTTTTCCTCTCTCGGCATTTTTCTCCCTAATACCTACAAGCATTCAGGCTTCAGTTTGAGAAGTGCTGAAATAGACTAGTGAGTTCCAGTAATAAGACACATGCTTTTTACTTGTTAAGGTATGAAATTCCTTAAGTTTTTTTTTAATCATCACACACTTTCACTTCTATAGGAATTTAGTTTGGCTCACATTTTAAAATTTATTGGCTGTTAAAGCAAAGCTTCTTGCTGCTAGGACTCTTGTTGATACAATTTCTAAACTACATATTTAGTAAATTATCACTATTTTATATATTGCAAGTAGAACGATGTATTTTTAAATCTGGAAAATATTTTAATCTTAAGAAGAATTTTATAGTATTCTGTCATCTATTTCTGGTAACTGACAGGATGTAGGTAAATGAATATTATTTTGTCCCAAATGATTTCCAGTGCTTAGAATTTTTATATCAATTATAATTCTAAGCTGCTTCGTAAACAGAAGACTTTTTCTGTGTAACTCGTGTTAGGGGGATGCATTAGATCATTCATGGCATTCTGGAGGAAAATACGAAATCCAGGAGAAATCAATCCATTTTGAGCTGCCAAAGGACAGAGATGGATTTCTAGTTTTTCACCTTTTATTTTCCTGATTGTGTTACTCCACCTGGAATGCCTTATGCTCAAATGAGGTGTGTGTGTGTGTGGGAGGGGGGAGGGTTAGAATAAATCACTTAAGAAAATAAAGAACTGCATTTTTCATTGAAGAACTGAGAATCTTCAACCTCATCAATCACTAAAATGCCAAAGAAGCTTCTTTAAATTTATACGTAAGACCAACATTTAGAACAAGAATATTTATCATAATCAGTGGGTTTTTAGGTGAATGTCATCTAATGATAATTGCTTTTGAATCTCATGGGCATATTTAAAGCACAAACCTGATAATATAGGCTACATTATTTTCCAAATATCTAATGGTGAGTTGACTTTGCCAGTCTTTATATGTTCCCAGATTAAAAGTCAATAAATAATGTTATGGTTTTTTAGAAAGTACATAAAATACCTGACAGAATAGAAAGCTACATTATAGTTCTTGGAAAGCCTGTGACCTTGGAAATTCTGGACCAACCGCAGGTAGCAGTATATTCTTTTTTTTTTTTTTTTTTGAGAAAGCAGGATTTATTGAGAGGACAGAGATGTTCCCATAGTAGGAAGGGACCCAAAGGGGTTGCCCCAGTATATTATTTTAACTAGCTAAGTCAAGATTTGAGTACTCAGTCTACTCCTCAGTAGATGTGTGATCTCGCCATTAAATCTTCTAAACCTTAGTTTCCCTATCTTTGAAGCATGCATATTAATATCTGGTTCCTGAATTGTTGTTCCTGGCGAATCGCCCTCATTAGACACTCAAGAAATATTTGTTCCCTATCTTAATAAGTCTTATTTATCAAATTAATACTTATCTCTAAAGAAACTTTTGGACTCTGTGAAACCTCTAATTACGTGGACTTCTTATCGAAGTGGCTTTAACTGAAATTTCCTTTGCAACTTCTTAGAATTTCAAGAGAGAAGAGCAGAACTTCGTTGTACAGAATGAAATCAACAATATGTCTTTCCTTATTACTGATACCAAGTCAAAGATGTCAAAGGTATTACTATAAACTGTTTCACTGTTCTAGAAAATGTATGAATAATACTTTCATGTACTGACACTTAAAAAAATATTTTGAAGATTCAAAACTGGAATATGATAGATTTTGTAATGTGATTTACTGATTAAAACTCACACACTGTTTTAAGTGTACCCAGGATTTGTTTTAATCAGGTATGATAAGACACACAGACATGGAAATGATTGTCAGGATAGAGGAATTTTTTTCTCCCAGATCTCTAGAAACAGGAGACAGAACATGCCACATAGAGCCACTTGAGACAGTACCAGGGTTAGTCAGGAGGCAGAGGGAGCAGGAAGAATGTGGGCAAGAGCTTTCATTGTGATTTTTTGGGGGGAGGAATAGAGAAGACAGGGTAAACAGGTTTATTATTGGCTAGTTTAAATAATTTTCAAGGGCTCTGCATAATAGGAGCTATACTTAGTGTTCTGGTAGCTGGAGTTAGGGTGATTAGGGCAGGTGGATGGTAGCCCAGAGTATAGGGGCTGAATAAAGGAAGTAGGGGTTGTGGGTTCTGGATTAGCTATATATGAAAGGCCAGCTTCCCAGTCCAGGGGAGTCATTTACCCCTTTCGGAATTGCCTAACCATGAGAGGCACAGTCTCTCCAAGATGGGCAAGTCTCCAAGATGTCAAAGCATCAGAATAAAGACATATTTAAAAGACACACACACATACACACGCACACACACATACACATACACATACACACACACCATTCACAAAATTGCCAGTCAGTATATATATATGTGTGTGTGTGTGTATACACATATATATACACACATATATATACATGTATAGCCAGTCAATATTATGTATTCATTAATAGTGAACATTTGTATACTTGTGTGTGCCAAATATATAGACCTCAAAATAATTAGTTGCATTGTTTAACAACCGCATGAATGGATTCTAGGTTCTCTTAAGGTAGGAAGTATGTGTCCAGGTTTTTGTTTTCTCAATCATTCATGTCAGGGAGGGCAACAGGCACTTTTTAAAACACTTTAGAATTCATGCCTTTATCTTTTTAATTATCACTAAATAAATAAATATACTACATTGGGTATCACACACAGTATGCTACTAAATGGTCAAATGCAAAATGAGTGGTGTTCTGGCCAAGGAAATTAGCCTCTACCAACTCAATAAGTTGTGGGAGGAGAATTGCTTGGGAGACACATCCCTCCACTGAATTCCTACAGTGACCCGCTCCTCTGCCTGCTGTGTTGGCGAGTGCAGGGAGGTAGAATGGCATCACTTGATAAGCCTGGTCTTCTTTACAGTTTTAAATGCCATGTATTTGACTCCATGACACATCAACTAGAAACTAATGCCACCTGAAACTCTTCATTATCTAGAACATTTGTCTGACCACTACAGGTAATTACTACATGTCCCTGTGCTCTTGAAACATACATAGAAGATGCTGCCTTCTCTCCTCTCTGGGCTGATCATAAGCCAGAAAAGTGAGGAGATGCTTTACCAGGAGTACAGATTTCGTGGATGTTAGTGAGTTTTTTTCTGCTTAAGCAGCGTGTTGTCAGTTTAGGCCAGTGTAAACAAAGCCTAGAGAAGGAAGTAAGAAGGTCAGTATTTATTTTCGAAGGATGACAGTGATTCTAGTGTATCATCAAACCTAACTCCAGTCAGAATGGCAATTATCAACAACTCAAAAAATAACAGCTGCTGGAGAGGGTGTGGTGAAAAGGGAACACTTCTACACTGTTGGTGGGAGTGTAAACTAGTAAACAGAGTGTAAACTCTGTGGAAAGCAGTGTGGCGATTCCTAAAAGCTCTAAGTATCAACCTCCCATATGACCCCGCAATCCCCCTACTGGGAATATATCTTGAAGAACTCAAATCACTCTAAAAAAAGATACCTGCACACGTATGTTTATCGCGGCATTGTTCACAATAGCAAGAACCTGGAAGCAACCATGCTGCTCCATCAAAAGAGGACTGGATTTTAAAAAAATGTGGTACATATACACGATGGAATACTATGCAGTCATAAAAAAGAACAAAATCATGAATTTCGCAGCAACCTGGATGGAACTAGAGTCTATAATACTTGGTGACCTCTCACAGAAACAAAGATCCGAGTATCACATGTTCTCACTCATATAATGGACCTTAAACATTCAGGGCAATACTATACGAAAATGACTGACAGTACTGGGAAACTATGGTGGGGGGAGGGAGATGGGATTAACAGTAGCAAATATCTGTATGGGAACGGGGAAATACCCCATATCAACAGGGTGCCTGAATGAAACGCAATTGTATACCTAACCCTTAACTGTACCCCACAACTTCATAATAAAAAATAAATAAATAATTTTTTGAAAAGAAAATGGAATTGCAAAGTCCTGAAAAAACTCTTTTTGAAAAGCAAAGACCTGAGAGATGTGAAAACTGAGCCATCTGGGGAAGGCATGCCAGGCAGAGGGAACAGTATAGGAGAATTTAGAAGGGGAAAAAAAAAATCACTTGCAGCTTTGTTTCCAGGGAAACCTCATGCAGACAGTGGAGTTTGGCTAGGCTTGGAAATATGGCAAGACTCTGGGACATGGAGAGAAT